GGGCGGGCCCCCGCCACAGGCAGGGGCTGCTCCATCTGGGCTGTGGGAGCAGCCCTGGCCTATGGTGGGCTCCATGGGGATGGAGCAGCTCCCTGCCCACTGCAGGCAGCGAGCTGCTCAAGCCTCTACTGGTTAATCAATTAACCATTCACATCTTTAGTCAAGACAATACAAATGATGGGAGAAAAATAGAATTAATTCCATTTTATAGATGAGAAACTGAGGCACAGTGAGACTAATTATCTTTCCCAAGCTTTATGCAGTGCCACTGTAGCCCTCTTGGTGCCAGGATGTGAGAGCGACAAAGTTGGTGAGGTAAAATCTTTTATTGGATCATCTGTTGTTGGTGAGCGAGACAGACCTTTGAGCCACACAGTGCTCTTTTTCAGGTCTGGGAAAGGTACCCCTCTTGGGGAGATGGATTAACTACACTGATGGGAGAAGCTTTCCTATCGGTGTAGTGGATTTTCTAAAGCACTACTGCACCATAGCTGCCCTGTGCACTGTATGTGCATCTCTGTAGCACTGTGGGCATGTCTACACTACGCAGAAGGTCGATGCTGCTGCGGCCAACCTTCTGGGATTTGATTTAGCTGGTGTAGTATAGACCTGCTAGATCAAACTCAGAGGCTACGTCTACTCTGGCCCCTTTTCCGGAAGGGGCATGTAAATTTCAGCAGTCGTCGTAGGGAAATCCGCGGGGGATTTAAATATCCCCCGCGCCATTTAAATAAAAATGTCCGCCGCTTTTTTCCGGCTTTTAAAAAAGCCGGAAAAGAGCGTCTAGACTGGCCCCGATCCTCCGGAAAAAGTGCCCTTTTCCGGAGGCTCTTATTCTTACTTCAAAGTAAGAATAAGAGCCTCTTTGAAGTAAGAATAAGAGCCTCTTTGAAGTAAGAATAAGAGCCTCTTTGAAGTAAGAATAAGAGCCTCTTTGAAGTAAGAATAAGAGCCTCCGGAAAAGGGCACTTTTTCCGGAGGATCGGGGCCAGTCTAGACGCTCTTTTCCGGCTTTTTTAAAAGCCGGAAAAAAGCGGCGGACCTTTTTATTTAAATGCCGCGGGGGATATTTAAATCCCCCGCGGATTTCCCTACGACGACTGCTGAAATTTACATGCCCCTTCCGGAAAAGGGGCCAGTGTAGACGAGCCCAAAAGGTGCCGCTGTTGGTGCCAGTACTCCTGCTCTTCATGAGGAGTACGCTCTTGTTGACTTCCTGCTATGTGGACAGGGATTTAAAATTAGTCAACTCCAGTCACATAATTTATATAGCTGGAGTTGCGCATCTTATTTTGACCTTTCCAAGTAGTGTAGACCACCTCTTACAGTTGTGAAAAATAGAAACTGTTGTGGGCTTGTGTTAAAAGACAGTATTTTGCTTTTTCAAAGGCCAATTTATTTTGGGGTCACTTCTTACTCAGAGTAAGGAGTAAATTACAACAAGCATAGGCAAATTACCATAATACATAAATAAATAGTGTTGTCTGAAGCACAGAATAATTGAGTTCCCACAACCAATCAGAATGCAGCTTTTCAATAACAGGACAATTTACAACTTTCAGTGCAGCACTAATAAATATCAGTCATGTTCGTAATATCTATATCATTCATAAGTTTATACAATGTAAGTACAATCAATGGAGCAGAATTTTGTCACTTGATAAATGATTCCTGTTGTCAAAATAAACTGGTTGGCATTCATTCACCATTCTAGTATGTCCACTATTACAAGTCTATTCAACAAGAGACAAACTATTACAGTGTTAAATAACTCAAACAAAAACAAATGAACCCCTCCCCCCAATCTCCAGCAATTGTGTTAATCTGGCTGCAAGCAGCTAGTAGGTGACAAAGCTTATGATGCTTAATAAAAATCTCTCAATTGACTTAAACATCTGTTCTTTCTGTCTAGAATAGCATACTACATATCTCCAATGATAGTTACATCTTTTACAACATCTTTAAATGAGCAGTTGATGTTACTACAGATGCTCTTGTTTCTTTTTTTTTTCTTCAGTTTGCCATCTACTTACCATCTGGGCTATCCATAGAAGGGCAATTTGCATTCATTCACTAGACATATCCAAATCAACAACAGGACAGTTATTTCAGTATGAAGGGGACATTTGGCAAAATGTTTTACTTTTCAGGGGCTGAGGAACTCAGGTTTTTGACTTCTGACCCTTCTTCCAAATCATCATGTCAGGAGTAGGGTTGTGAAAGGTTAACCATTTACCTGGTTAACCAATAAACAACACTCTAAATGTGTAATTCTTACCAGTTCCAGTTAACTGGTAACCAGAGAAGGCTGTAGGAGCTCCCTGCCTGCTGCAGGCCGGGGGCTGCTCCAGCCCCACAAGGGGCCCACCATGGACAGGGGCTGCTCTTGTCCAGAGCAACCCCTGTTCATGGCAGGCCCAGGCACCCAGCAAGTAGGGGCTGCTTCTGCAGGCAGGGGCTCCGCAGGAAAAGGGCTGCTCCACTGGAGGCTGGCAGCACCCTCAGCCGCTAGTGTTGGGCTGGGAGCTGGCATGGGGCTGGGACTGGTGGTGGGAGTCCAGTGGGTTAAGGGCTGCTCCTGCTAGGCTGGAGCAGTCCCCACTTTGGATCCTGCTTTAGTTGGTTAATGAGTTAAAATGCTAGGTAAACCTAACATTTAACTAGTAAACTGGGATTTTAGATCCCTAGTCAGTGGTCCACTTCTGGCTCTCTGGAATAGGCAGCTGGTGTGTCTGCAAGTCAAAGGTCTCCTAATATCTGGAGTGGATTCCACAGAGGGCTGGTACTTCCCTGCTACTCCTTGCACTCCATCCCTAAGGAGCCATGCTCATCAACACTGTGCCTATGTCTGGGCCAACCTAACAGCTGAGGGAAATCTGAATGTCTGGTATAAGAATTCAAACAAGGGAAACCTGATAAGTCAGAATTATTTTATGCAAGGAAATTTCCAGGGTGTTGGAGAAGGTGAGGTGGACAGTGTGGCTTTCCCCTAGCCATGACCCTCCCCACCATCTTTCAAAGTAATCAAAGACCCAAATATGATGAGAGTAAATGTGGCATCTCTGGGGCTTTTATACCAGGGAGAAAACATGGAGGGGACTCTGTCACTACCAGATCACTGCATTTAACACCCAATTTTTACATCAATAGCTAAGTATGGGACACTTCCAACCCACTTAATCAGCCTCATTAGCACCAGTCCTACAGTTAAGAGGATTCTTCCCCCCTGCTTCCTTTTTCTGTTATAAATTCTGGTTTCCTGTTATCCCTCTCCATCTCATCTGATGAAGTGGGTTTTGCCCACAGGAAGAAGCTCCTCATTGTCCACCAATGCAGATTAACCAAAGATATAAAAACGACATTAATAAAAAAAGGTTTTTCATCTGATTGTTCTCTGCATTATAACTGTGCCTGCAGAGTTTGCCCTAGCACAATAATATGAGGAACAGAGAGCATGTATTCCATTTTGTGTTTATTATGAAAGTGAGTCTAGCAAAAGTTTTATTACATGCTTCATTTTGAGCTTTGACCTGGTAAACAAAGCTACTGGTATACAGAGGCAAAGGGTAATGTAGCGTCAGATAAGATACATTTACATCATCGTTTTCTACTACTAAATCTGGCAGTTTTGTTAAAATGTTGGCAAAGCTCAGACCACTGTATTTTATTTCTAAGTATCAAACTTTGTACATTTATTCACTATCTTTGCTCTAACTAACATGGTACAATTCATATGGAAATAGCTGTTTGTACATAATTTACATAGGTAATAAACCTTCGCCTCACCAGCAGCATCTACAAGGGTTTAGTTCAAATAATTTCACATGCCCAGTGATCTATAAACAGCAAAACGGTACATAAACCAGTATCTTTACCAATCATTCCTCTCCCCTTCCCAAGATCTAGCCTAACAGAAGTTCCCGTTTAACATATAAAAGATATAGTTGACTTTAATCAGGCAAAACTCTCACTTACCTTAGTGGCAGTTTTGCCTGGTTACAGACTCCAAGATCAGGATCAATGTGTAGTTTTACCATTTCCATGGCAACCAAGTCAAACTACTACTTTTCCTGATCTCTGTACTATATTGGGCATAATGTTTTGAATCCCCTTTTTGTTTCTGGATTTTATTTTCCTCTGTATCCCAATAAGATAATAGGAGCTAATGTTAACTTTAACATACATTTCCTTTATGTTAAGAAAATAGTAAGCACTTTAGAATGGTAATTGATGATCTCTGCTACCACAACTAGCAGGCTGCATTGTCCTAGAGAGCATTCGTTATAATCCCTGGGAGACTGCTGGAATAACAGACTAATTACCTGTAGAAATGAATCTTGCAACTGACTAAATGCTACCCAGGCCCTAATGTAACATTTTAATCATCACATTTCAGTAATCACCACTAGCAATGCAAACTAGCAGTATTCCCAAGATATAAAATGCACAAAAATATTTACAAAATACATTTAAAAAAAAGGGTTTACAATGCAAAATAATGAAAAAACCCAAAAGAACAATACGTTTTTTATTAAAATAAAATTTTGTTGAGCATAGCTGTTTGTTGTTTTCCTAAATATGGAAGTTTATTTTGCAATGAGAAATTCAACTGTCTTTCTTGGAGTACACACTTCTGTGTATTTTGTGGAAGTATGAAGCTACAGTCACTGATTAAAAAACTGTTAAAGTGTTAAATTAAAATTACTCCTTTACTACACTAATTTAAAATACAATGCATTGAATATTCCTAAAATATCATACAGTGCTACTTATAGTTATTGTCTTTAAAAGTAAAATCAGTGCTATACATAAGCAAAAGTTCAGTTGAAACCTACTTGCAATGGTTTCTATGTATTTAAACTTGTTATCTCAACTTTCTGAATACAGATTGTTTAAATTATTACAGCTAAGGGTACCACTGTACATTTTTATTGTTGTATATTACACATTAATTTTATAGATTAATATCTAATTGTAGAAACAGAATAAATAAATGAAATAGTAAACTGGAATTGTATATATTCAGATACTTAGATAACAATTCTTTGCCTTAAAGAGTTAATCTTCCTGTACATTTCATTCAAATGGAAAATGTGATGACAAAAAATAGAGACCAAGAGAGGAGGTTTTTTTTTTTTTGCATCTCAACCCAAAATTGAGGAATAAAGTCATATTATTTTACAGTAATTTCCCTTCTTCCAAAAATTATTCTAGTGGAAGACAAAAGTTTTTCCTTTTTTTTCCAAGTGCTTACAACATTCTCTTATCCTAGAAAACTAAGTATAAAAAGTCTCAATGTACTGAGATTTTATAGAATTTTCGCAGTTAATGACATTCCCATCAAATGATAGTTTAAACTGAAAAAAACAGCAGTTAGAAGAAACCATTACACTAATATGTGTAATTATATCTTCAGGTCTGGCTTTTTAGCTCCATTGAAATCAATGGGATCTTTGCCATTGAATTCAAAGGGGTCAGGATTTCATCCCAGATTTAAAAAAAAAAAAAAAGATCATTAAAAGTTAGTCAGAATCCAGACAACAGCAAAGTCAAAGACCAGTTATTTTAGCAGTTCGGGTAGACTATGAACCACAATGTTGCTTTCACTCTTAAAAGATTATTTTCATGGTAGTGAGTCCTGGATTATTTATAAAAATGACTGAAACAATAAATTAAATATCTTGGGTAAATAAACAAGGGAACCTTTTTAGTTTGGACGTTTAATTTTGGATAATTTGCTCACATGGCATTAATATTACTTCTTTTTAGTTCTACTTGCATGACATAGGACTGAAAAATTAACCATGCTCATTAAAGGTCATCTAATAAATCAGACTGTAGACACTCTGAATATTCTGGGCTCAATTCTCTTCTCATTTAAGCCAGTGTAAAACAGAAGTAAATTCACTAAATCAGTGATGTTACCCTGGTGTAAAATTAGTAAGAGAGAAGACCAGTGCCTTTTCACAGTTCCTTTCTTCAGTATTGTGTCAGTCTAAATTAAATGCATGATTTGTAGAATATTGATTTGTAGCTCATAGAAATGGTCTTGATCCTGTTTAAAGTCCAAGGTTTGGAATCTTTCACAGATATACATATTTTCCAGTAATTGTCTCACCGATGAGGGAAAAATAACATTCACTGTGGCAGCTGGTATAAATGGACTAAATTACCAAAGAATTTCATGATTGCAGCATATGGCTCTCTCACTAAGATTCAGTGTAGAAACAGGATGCTTTTCATATAAAGCTCCTCAATTTTTTCTGCCAATCCACATCAGTAGTTAAGGACTCACTAACAGCCTTTTGGAAGTACAGTCTGTCAGATGTACATCCTGCCTGCTCATGGAGAAGAGACTTTGTATGTCATGTTTTTCCATGCCTAGAGAGGATGTATGACAGAGTTAATAAATAAAAGTACATCATCTTCTGATAGCACAATCATTCCTATCAATACATAATTACTGGACATATACAACAGGCATAATGTCCAGTTCTGGAATCAAAATTTCTAAAGTTTTGGAAGTTCAAATACAGGACTTTTCTTCAGACTTAGAGGATTTGGAACGAATGGCAAATTACAGCATCAGCTTCAAATTCGAAGCTTTCTCAAAATTTGATGGTGTTCTTGTGGTTTGGGCACATCCCCAATAATTATACTACAGAGTATATTTGACTTTACTCTCTGGGGCAAAACTAAACAAAAAAAATTGAAAAACAAAAAGTGTTATAGAGAGAGAGGTTGTTTGCATACAAGCAACTTGTGTATGTATGATGGAGGAAAGTAGAGATTGATGGTAGGATGAAGGAACAGATCAAACATTGAACATGGCAGTCTTACTGAGTTGGCAATTTACATCAGCTGGTGTAAATTGTCATAACTCCACTGAATGCAATGCTCAGCTGATGATCTGCCTCATTGAATTTAGTGCCCTGCTTCTGGTTGTATTCAAATTAAACCCACATGCCTACACCATAGCAGTTATTACCCATCAGAAAATAATAATGCCACAATCATTATATCCAGCAACTTCTAATTAGTGCAGTCTACAAGATCACAGAAAGTATGCTCTGTCTGTCATTTTTGTAGGAGATGAAGAACATTTAGGGATGATTCACTACCATGTCTCAAAACAGTAAGTGCAGGATATAGGATAGGAGGAGAGATTTCAAAAAATAAGTGCTACTGGTGTTTAGTTTTCAAACATAGGAACATTTTCAAATTGAAAGAGCTAATTTATGGATATGGAATTAGGTCATCACAAAGTAATACCTTTTCAATTACCCTGTAGTAACGTGAAGCCATAAATAGAAAATTATTTTGTTGTACTAGATTTAGATGCAATATTGTCAATTTAGGTTAAAGACCTACCTTTTTTTGTACATATTCAACTTGCAATTTGGAATATCTTTATTTTTGGTATCATGAAAGTGCCTCTCTCACAAAGAGGGACGCATAATTAATGCCCCAATTTGTCCCATGTGCTTTGAGTCTCAGAAGTTTGATAGCTTATCTCCACCTGCAAAACAAGAAATTTCTTGCTTTGCTGCTATTACTGAATGGAGATATGTTCTGACAAATTGTCATATCGTTCTGTGACACTATCAATGGAAACACTAACATCTACAAACCAGAAGCTTAACTGAAATTAATATGGCACCATATTCTATTTGGTGAATAACAGTTTCTGCCAGTATAACTCACCAACCTGTTTTTTAAAAGCACTTACACAGCTCTGAAGTTCATATAATACTTTTGGAAGGGGATTTTTAATAGAAATTTTTACTTATATAAGTGAAATATTAAGTGTTTATGAAAACCATTAGCTACAAGAAACTACCACTTGATGCTAACTGTTTTTCATTAGAAATTTGCACATCTGTCTTCACATTTCTAAGGGGAAATGTATGATTTTCTATATATACTCTACAAGAAACATTCAGTATATCAGCTACATACTTGTAATGTCCAAGCTGTTTTTTTTTTTTGCTTGCAGCATTAGACCCAGACTTACTTCCTTTGACTGACAAATGCAGTTTGAAAGTTCAGAGAACAATGTCCAACTGCCAGGTAATCATTATGTTATTTCTTTAAATTGTGTGTCGTCTTTTGAGAATTTCAGTTTTTCAGTAGTTTTAAATTGGCTTGCTGTCGTGACCAATTCAACCATTTTGGATAACACCTGGGACACTTTTGCAATGTTCACATCACTCTGAAGTACTATGTTTCTTTGTCGTATTTGAGCTTTCATATTTATACATGCATATTTATCATCTATATATAGATTCTTCTATTATCCACTGCAGTCTATTGTGTAATTATAAGTGTTTTTACTAAAAAACACATTACATGTTTTTCCATTCTACAGATGCTTTAGGCTAAGCACTGATTGTTCATCCCTTGTAACAACCACCCTTGGACTCCTTCTAGGCAAGCGATCATTTAAAAAAAAATAGGTTCAACATTCTTGAAGAAGGGATCTTACTGAAAGCTAGCATGTTTGGTAACATTCAATTGCAAAGAAGGACCTTCCTTTAAAAAAAGGAAGCAACTCAAAAGGCTCTTTAATAAAAAAATGAACTTAAAATTAGTGAGGGGACAATTTTAGCACACTAAAGCAGAACCAATAGGAAAGAAGGCATCTCCCCCATCCCTCAAATGGCTAAATGGCCAGATTAAAAAAGATTTTCCAACCAACTGGGTACCTTTCAGGAAATGGAAATCAAGCTCAGCTGTAACCCGGAGAAAGGAACAGAAACTATTGCCAGTAAAATTTAAATTGGAAATTAGGAAAGCAAAATGGGAGTTTCAAGAGTGATTAGCCAGACATAAAAATGTGCATATAAATTAGCATAAAACAGCTTTAAAGTATATATCAGAAGCACAAAGTTTTTGAGAGCATTCATAAGTGTGTTGGATTATCAGGAAGATAAGGGAGCAGAGGAGAAGCAAAGACTCACCATGATTTATCTGCCTGAGTCTTCATCACAAGGGATGGTGGATAGGGATACCTATCTCTTTAGGTAATAAAGATGAGGAACCAAGGGGAAGGTGGTGAACCTCCCCAGTAAATTAAACAAATCATGAGGCTCCAGGTGGTACACATCCAAGATTTCGAAGAACTGAAAAATGAAGTGTCTGTGGTGCTAACAAAAATATACAATCTCTCACTGAAATCCCATTATATCAGTGAACTGATGGGATTACAGGATTCTTGTACCTTCTTCATATGCATCTGGTACTTGTTGCTGCCAGAGACAAGATGGGCCCCTAGTCTGATTTGGGTATTTTGAGTATAAATCTGATACTAAAGTAAATGGGAGTTTTGGGAGTGCAAGGAATGCAGAATCAGACTACTAATGTATATTTAATTAATTAAAAAATATTATAAATGGATTGCAAAAAAAATAATTTCTGTTTTCCCCTTTAGAAATATGGCTTTTACAAGAGGTATATTTATATAATGATTTAGAGATGGGAAATCTAATGTAAAAGTTAATTTATCCTGTGATCCTCCTATTCAGTGCTCTTTTATCAGGAGTAATTCCCATTGACTAGGATGTAAGGAGTACCTGAATAAGGAGCAAGAACAGGACCCACCTGCTGAATGAGACACTGTAAACTAATGAGCAAAATAATGAATTCTACATTAACTAATATCTGTCATAAATTAAGCTTGAAGACTGTTAAGTGAAAGCTAATCTTTCCTTGTATCATAAAATTTAAAGAGACTTCATTTTGAGATAAACAGAATTTACAAGCACATGGAGAAGTTATTTAATCATCTAAGTGAAGTCACAAATAGATGCAAGTAAATACTGTGTGTGGGAGTAGAGGTTTAAGAATGAGTAGTATTTACAGTAACTAAAGATAATATTACTAATGTACCCACAAATAGAAGTATATATTTATATATTTATATATTGTACTTAATTAGATGCTCTAATAAGGAAAAGAAAAACGGACTACTACTTTTTGTTCTTTGTTTCTCATCCACCCTATTGTGATAGTCTTCAAAGAGACCAAATGGCATCCAAAATCCATGACTGTATCTACAGCAGGACAGGTAGTGGTAGACCTTTGAAGAAGGCTATAATAGGGCAGATAAAACAGGTAGGGCATGGGATTCAATCATGTATAATCCATAAAACAAAATTATACATCCATTTCTTTTTTTTTTTTTTTGGTTTATACTAGAACAAAGTCTTCACAAAACCACAAATGGGAAATAAGAAAATTTAGATTTTTTTGTTTTTTTTACCTAAAATGTCAAATATAAAGTTCAAGTGCAATTCAAAATCCAAATAGTATTTATGCTACATACTCTTTTCTATCACAAAACTTAGTTGCAGGTAGTTTCTTTAACAGGTTGAACAGGTTTCTTCTTTGCTTAGAAGAAAACTATTTTTGCTAGAAAATATATTTTCTAAAATGAACATTTTCAATGAAACATGAAGACATACTAGTGCAGACACAAATCTGGATCTTCAATTGGATGCACTCAAGGATCCACAAGTATTCTTCTTTGAAGTTAAAAAAGCCCATTCAGCATATTGCCTTTTAACAATTATAAAACATTATAGTTATTCTTCAATATATAATTGAAAGTAAAGACTGCAAAAAATAGCCTTCCAATGAGCAAATGTTCTACTGTGGAGGAAAATACAATATGTGACAAGAATGCAAAATAACCCCAAATTGAATATTACTAGGAAACTATTTGTATGGTCGTAGAAATCTGGAAACTTTTGATCGCAGTAGCTTTATAAATGATCTTGGGAACATCTCCTTCGACTCTTGTGCTGTGTACTTGAAATAGTTTTGAGGATGTGCCAGAACGTCAAATAGGGCTTTGATCAATTTCTTGTCCTACGAGACACAAAGTGTACATCAAGCACTTACTTTGATTGTATTAGTTGCTGTACAACTTTTAAAATAAATATTCATTATGCTTTTCTTTGACAAAAGCTGCCATTAGGCAAAGCAGGTTAAGCATACTCTAGTCCACGTTGTGTTTTGCATATTATACTATAGGCAGTATACTAACTCCTCCATTTTAACATGTGTAATTGGTGATATTTGGGGGGGAAAGGGTGAACTTTTGGCCTCATTGAAATCAGTGGCAAATTTCCCAAAGACCAAAACGGAGCCAGGATTTCACCCAGTGTTTTCAGTCCTTTTGTTGTGTAGCTTTGCCATCCCTAGGATTTACCCAAATAGCCAGTCAGTTTTTTCCCCCTTTTATTTGTTTGGGACTGTCACATGGCAACATGGGACTGAAAAGTATGTACAGGTTGGACCTCACTGGTCTGGCACCTTTGGGACCAGTCCAGGGAATTTGCTGGACCAGGGAAGGTCCCTCCCCTCATGGCTCTGCTGCCACCTGGCTAAGGCTCCTACCTTCTTCCCCTGCTGCTGCCTCAGCCCTCCTGGGCTCTCCCCAGCCCTGATACTGCTGGGACCAGAGCGCCATGGCCGGAGTTGTGCAGCCGGGCAGAGCTCCACAGTGCCTGGCTGCACCGCTGGGGTCAGAGCTCTGTGGCTGGGGCGGAGGGATGGGGATGAAGCTCTGCAGCCTAGGCCAGAGCAACCTGGCTGCTGCTGGGGCTGGAGTTCCCTGTCGACTGGAGCCAGAACTTGGCCGGAGCTCCACAGCTGGGGATGGGTCCAGAGCTTCCTGGCTGCTGCTGGGGTCAGACCTCCCTGGCCAGGGCCGGAGATCCATGGCCATGGCCAGGCTAGAGGTCCCTGGCCACTGAAGCCAGGGGGCTCCACTGGGGCCAGAACTCCCCACCATGCCATCTGTCCTCCTCCCTCCTCCCTCACTCTGGGCTCCCTGCTGAGTCACTGGTGCCCCTTATGATGCTCTTGTCCTGCCATCAGACCTCTCTCTTCCTGGGCTCTGTGGTCCAGGAACATCTGTGGTCCATGCTGGAAAACAGATGTTGCTGGACCAGGGACCTCCAGTAAGGGGAGGATGCAACTTGTACTCAAATATTAAAATTGGATTGTGGAAAATCACAGAATTTGTCTGGAGGACTCAAGGGCAGGAGTAGGACATGAAACTCCTTTGCCTCACTTTTTAAAAATTGACTAGATTTTAAGCTGGCTAAGTGCCTTTGTCATATAGATGGTTTGGGTCCAGGATAATGTCAGCTGAGCACAGTACCTCTGACTAGTCATAGAATCCTAGAATCCTAGGACTGGAAGGGACCTCGAGAAGTCATCGAGTCCAGTCCCCTGCCCTCATAGCAGGACCCAGCACTGTCTAGACCAGTGGTCCCTAATGTTTTGGGGCTGCCGGGTGCCTGGGGGCGGGGCCGCTCATGCGCTGCGCGTACAGGGGCGGGGCCGCTCACAGGCCACGTGACTGGGGGTGGGGCTAAGCATGCGCCGCACGCCCGAGATCGGCACCGGCATGTGCTGCAATCCCAGGCAGGCGCTGCCCAGGGGCCGCGGGGCCGGGGCTGGCAAGGGCATGCACAGCGCCCCCTGGGGGGGGGATCAGGGTTGGCACTGACACGCGCGGCGCGGCTGGGG